ACGCAGAAAAGTGCTGGCAGTCATGCTCCGCTTGGTTTTGCGTCAATAGGGAGATAACCCCAAAATATGTAGCCAAACTGATTGTGGAGTAAAAGTCATCACCGATTGTGTACATATGTTTGATATTCCGTCCGTCCCTCCAATTTTCACTCCTAAATTTTATAGGCCTAAATGCATGTAGAGATTTTATTAACAAAATGGATCCCTCAAGTCAATAAATACTCAAGATACATTTGTACTAGTAATAGATAGTTTCAATTCCTATTTACCTATATTTTGCTTCGTATTTTTTAAGATATAGTCAAACTTAAGAGTTAATTTTTCCCCTTAGATTGAAGGATCACGAGTAGTAACGTTGGAATTCATTTCTGTTCTTTTTTTTTACTTATTTCCTTATTGTCATTTTTGAATTTTCAGGCCCAATGCCGTGCTGCGGTATCGATAAATCCTTGGTTTCTCCTGATGTTCGGTGAGTTAGATATTTTCTATTTATCTACTTGAGGTTGATTGTATAGTGTTCGCCTTACCATTTTCCCAAACTAAATCTCGTTTTTCCAGTTATTCTGGTACTCTTAGAACGAGTATATTTTGATTAGAAAACTAATTAATGATTTTAATTCATGAATTTTTTGATTGTAGGAATATATTTCCACCTCTTCCATCATCGTTTTATCTTGGTTTTCAATTATTGTAGGGGCGAAATTCTTACTGTATTTTCTGGCGGACTTCCACGAGCCTCATTTTCTGATACTCATGCTGTGTCAGTTATACGCGGTGCTGTAAATCAGCATATTTGCTTCGAGCTTGGTTCTCCTATTGTTGACTTTCTCCTGATACCGGCTCCAGGTTTTGCGGCATGCAAGGAGAACTCCGGTCTCGAGGCCGCAATAAATCATGATGGTGGTAAGTTCGTCTTAATTTAAATTTATTTTGTTTCGCGAAAGTTGCTGTCTCGAAAGGTTTAATCTTTGTTTTTCATTTTTATTTGTGATGTAACCATCTATATTCGCCAAATCCCATTTGGCATTGGATGATTTAAAAAAAAAAAAGATTTGGTGAACCTTATTTTAATTAAATTAATTGAGTAAGTAAGAGGATGGGAGCAGTTTCTAGTTGCGATGTATCTACTTGCTACATTCGTGCAAGTATTTGGCTTTACTTTGAGAAGTGCTGGACACTATCTTTAGTCACCACTTCACAGTATATGCACCTATCAAGTATTTATTGATTTGATGTAAAGTTACTTTAAGCTTTGTGGACCATGAGCCAGAATTAGATTTAATTTGGAATTTATCCGAACTGATAACTTTTAGGGCCTGATACAGTTTGTACAATCTTCGGTTAGATATTGAAATAGAAAATACATTGCACATTTAGCTAAACTAGATGTAAATGCTATCAATTCATCGCTTTTACTTTTTTCAAATACTCGTGGGTTTTTTTATACACTTGTGTTTTCTTTAATTTAAAATGTCAAACGTCTTGCTTGGAAAACTTTTGAAAGCCTTAATAAGGTTCGGGACTGCATTAGGTCCTTAATAAGAAATTAGACCCCAGTGGATCCTAATTATTATTTTGAAACATTTTGCTTGATTTCTGTCACTGGATATTCGAATTCTTGACGCTCATCCTGAGCCTAGTCAAATCAACCAGCTAAATGTCAGAAACCAAAGCTTTTTGTTCATGTTACTTTTATCCCGGACCACCTACACAGCACACAACCTAGTTGAACTCCTCATCCATTCATTGCGAGATTGTATTTCCCATTCATTCATTAGTTGCATCCTACTATCTGACTTCACTGTCTAGGGATGAGCGACAATCTTGTCGCCAACCCTTTTGAGTCGAATTCACCTCACCACAACCCCGCGTTTTCGGATAAACCTGTTTCCGGTGAATTCAGGAAAGAGCTTCTCAACGAGCCTAATACCACTTCTCGCGAAAATAGTTCCTCATCACCCAGCAAGTCTTCTGGGCCAAAAAGATTCTCTTCATTTGCGAGTCACCGTCGTCATCCGAACTCGGCGATTTCCAAGTCCACTGCTGTGCGGCACTTCTCTTTTCGTCACAAGGCACCTCCGTCTCGTCTTGAATCTGCCGGTCAGAATCTTCCCGTTCAGCGTAAGGTGGCGAATGTTATCTCGTCGCAGACCTAATGTTTTTCTATCATCTCGCCATCATTTCACCGCTCCATATGCTCCGCTACATTTTGCACTGCTTTTACAGATATCATCTTACGATTGCACTTTTAATTTGAGACTGCTTCTGTTTAGGCATTTTTTTAATTTGTGTTGATTATATGTTTTCGCCACCGCTACAGTCTGAGTGCACTTTAATCGCATTTTAACGGCGCTAACTCTGGGTTCTCGATTTACTTGTTATATTTACATGCTCAAAATTTTTGCGAATTTCTCCATCCGCTTCTGTCCAAACGAGTTCGCATTTCTTATGATCTGGCACTTTTAACAACCTTTTGTCTGGATTTATTCGTCATACTTTTCATTGACAGTTTTAGTATGCACTAATTTATCCATTTCTTGCCTTTATTAAACACCATTTTAAGAGCAAAATGAACCAGTCGAAACAGATATGAATAGACTTGTTCATATCTCGCGCCCTTCTTCACCTCTCCCGGCCTCTGCACTTCTCATCCTCTCACGGCGTGAACTTGTTGCTATTGATTTGACTCAAGCCGAATGGCCTGTTCTTCTTTCGCCTTACCTCACCTGCATTGACTGCTCCGAGATCACTGCTATTGCCCACATAGACAAGGTCAGCATTTTCCACTTGTCTTGTTTCCGAATATTGCGTCGAAAAAATTGTATTTTTTATATAGATTCAATTTGTAATATTTTTTTCATGGATTTCAATTTGAGAGGAGT